CAGCCTCTTCTTCTGCCTCTAGGGTCATGGAAGGGTTAAGAATTCAGGGTTGTCCAGGCAAATGAATGAGTTTCGGAGAAAGAGGATTAAAAAGTCTTTTCAGATGAGTAAGGAAGGGAGCGGAGGGTGTGCTGAGAGTGGCAGAGACTGGGGGAGAAGCACACTTGCTTCCCTGCTTCCTGCCTTCCAGCTGTTGGTGCCACATGGTGATGGGGCTGGGATCTGTCACTGTCTGTAACTATACATGACTCTGATGACCCCAGGCACTCAAAGCATCGGAGCAGAGGCCCGCAGTGATATTGCTCCTTCACACAGACCCTCAAGCCAAGAGCCCCAGGACTGGTCCCTCCAAGTGGTCTTCCATGAGGAAACCTGTTCCCTGTCACAGGTTTATCACTATAATCAATGAACATCTGAGAGGAAGTGCGGGTAAACAGCCAGAGTTCAGGATTCAAACCAGTGGGAGAGTCTGAGGACTTGTTCTCATGGGGCAAGGCCCACATATTGGTGTATGGTGTAATTCCTTGGAAGGCATCAGACTGAGATGATCTGACACTTATCGATCTTCTTATCTGTAGAGATTCCAGGCTTCAGAGGGGTTATTATTTTGTCCAAAATCATAGATGCTGCTAGTGGCAGAACCAGACCCACATAGCTTTCCCGACTGCATTTCACGTGTTGATGGCAGACACTAGTGCTGATGTGCTAATATGAGAATCTACTCTGTCGCTCATGGAACAAAACCAGTGTCACTGATGTTAACAGAAGGGGACACACTGTCAGATACATTAGCATTGTGTGCTGCCAGCTGAGGAAGGTGGCACCTGTTTAAATGAAGAATTTAGTGGTTCTGTAAAGTATATGCAGCACCAAAAAAAAAAAAAAACAAATTCTTTCTTTTTGAGGTGGCTCCTATTTAAATGCCCAAACGCTCTTTTTGTTTTACTTTGCAAAGAATGAGGCCCTACTTTGTTTTTTAGATGAAACTATTTATACTTTTTAAAATTAAAATTTATTGGGGTGACATTGGTTATTAATATTATGTGTATTTCTAGTGTGAAAGCCTATGGTACATTATCTGTATATTACATGGTGTTCCCACCACCAAAACTCTGGTCTCTTTTGATCACCATATATTTGACTCCATTTACCACCTATACTCCCTCATCCTCCTTTCTGCTAGTAGCCACCATACTGTTGTCTTGTCTTTGTCTGTGAGTTTTTGTAAAACTATTTATTCTTTTGTGTGAATATGTTGTTCTTTGGGAGCTCCTGCCAGTGGGCCTGAAGCATGCTCTCAGGAAGAGTTGGTCTCGGTACCTGCTGTGCTCATACCAGCCTGGTAGTCTGCCCTCTCCCTTAAGAGTCCAGGAGCCCTTCTTTTCCACTTTCTCTCTCAAAGAGAAAGAATTTGGGGGCGGGGGTTGGTGCTGCATATACTTTTCAGAACCACTAACTTCTTCAGTAAGGGGCCTGAGTTCAGAAACTGTAAAACTAAAGGGAATGTGGTGGAGCTAATTATAGGGTAGGGAGCCCTGGGCAGTGAGGCATTGCTGAGAGACAGGGTCAGGCAGAGTTTAAAGGTTTTTCTGAGAAAGCGATAACTTCACTCATCAGCAGTCCCTGTGGTCCACCTGGGCCAGATGTGGGGGTGGCAGTGGGAAGATTTATTCTAGTAAACACAAGCTCATGCATAAGGGAAAATCTCTGGGATGCTGAGTGGATGAAACATGAAGAAGGCAGAAGAAAAGGTGGAGGAAGGAGAAAGGTGTTGTGTGAGATTCCTAGGGCTGATGTAACACAGTACCCCTAACTGTGTAGCTTAAAGCCACAGAAACTTATGGCCCATAGTTCTAGGGCTCCAGCATCAAAAGGTTGGCAGAGCCACGCTCTCTCTGAAGGTGCTGGAGAGGATCCTTGCTGGTTTCCAGCTCCTTGTGGCTGCTGGCAACCCTTGGAGGTCCTTGGCTTATAGATGCATTGCTCTCATTTCTTGACTGTTGCATTTTACAAGGAGAAACCAGGCTATACCCTCCAAACTGTCCTTGGAAACGCAAGTATATTGCTTTCAGGCTCTTCTTTCCACCCAGCTGTAGAACGTAACTCAGTGACTTCTCTCCCCCGTTGTATCAAAATAACGTTTCTTCAAATGTCCAATATCATGGTCCTCACTTTGTCCTGAGATCACTGAGATCTCACCTTTAATATTCAAATTCCCAGCAACAGACTCTTCAAGGATATCTAGGCATTTTCTATCAAGTGCCCCAGAATGCTCCCAGCATCTATGCATTACCCAATTCCACAACCACATCCTTATTTTGAGCATTTCTTTTACAGCAGAACCCTACTTCCGGGTATAAACACTGACCCTATGAAGTCAATACTCCATTTTAAAGATCAGAAAAGGCAGTTACAGAGAGGTTAACTTATCCAAATGTGGTAGGCTGAAAATTATACCTTCCAACCCTATATAAGCATTCCTAATCCCCAGAACATATAAATGTTACCTTATTGCAGATGTGATGAAGTTAATGATTTTGAGATGAGGAGATTGTCTTGTATTATCTGAGTGGGTCCTACATGTAATCACAAAGGCCCTCAGAAGAGGGAGGCAAGATCAAAGGAAGAAGAAGGCAATGTGATGATGGCAGCAGAGATTGGAGTGATGTGACCACAAAACAAGGGATTCTGGAAGCTTCTAGAAGCTGGAAGAACCAAGTGATGTATTCTCTCCTTGAGATACCTACAGCCCTGAGGATACCTTCATTTTATCTGCATAAGACTAATTTCAGGCTTCTGACCTCCATAACTCTAAGAAAATTAATTTGCATTGTCTCAGGACTTTAAATGTTTGGTAATTTGTTATGGTAGCAACAGGCAACTGATATACCAAGGTTAGTTGTTCATTATGGAAGTGTCAGGACAGTTCAAGAAACCATTCCTTTCACCTCCTGTTATTATTTTTGCAAAGTTGTAATAATTTTGAGTTTTGCATTTAACTAGAACATAGAAGCATACAAAGCCTTGAACTCCACAAGGCAGACTCTGATAGAAGTTAAAGAAATGTATTTTAATAGCCCCAACCTTGAAAAAAAATCCACATATTTCCACGTTGACATGTATGTCTATGATGTAAAACATAAAGAGGGAAAAGAATAATAGGAAAATTTAAATTAGGAAGCCATGTCTTTCTCTACATTCATCTCTTTTCTTTTGACTATGTGGAAGGAGCAGCATCCTGGGAGGGGGGAGAGCACCTTCATGGAGTTGCAGGTGGGGACCAGCAGCAGAGATACAGGTGGCTCACAGCAGAGCTGGATGTGGAAAGGAGCTCTAAGGATGAGAAGCACGGCCAAGTGAACAGCACAGGAGACATGAGACAAAATCCCTTCTATCAAATGTCTCTTAGAGGGAGGTCAGTCCTAAGAGAGAGTTCAGGGATGGGAGCTGTGTTCCAGATGCTCCTCCATCGTCAAGGACCTCAGGGCGAGGACCATTCAAGACCCGCATTCCATTCCCTATAGCATCTATGGATTCCATTTCAATCACATCCCTCTTCCCTTTTGGGAACCTATGAGTGTGCTTGGAGGAGCAATTTGTTGTCCCTAAAAACATAAAAGGCAGCTTCTGGCAGGACCAGTTTCATTCAGGGAATATGGAGAATGAAGCAAAACTGGGGCAGTGGTTGAGGCATTTTGATCAGGAGATGCAGTTTTGACTCTGCTCTGGTCTCATATATATGCAGCCTGTCAAGGTGAGCTTCATGGATGTGTGCCTTATAGGGTTGCTCAAGGATCTGTGCTTAGAGGGTTTACAACTCTGTAATGTCATCTTCAAATTCTTCATGATTTTTAAACAACGGGCTTGGTATTTTCCTTTTGTGCCAGACCTTATGAATTATGTAGCTGGTCCTGATCTGTGTCTTTATTGGAAATAGAAAAACTGTTACCTGGGTTCCTTCAAGGCGACCAAAGTCATTCATACCAATAATTGGTCCAATAATATGGCCATTTACACCAACATTTCCAAATCTATCTGCTTCCCACCATGGGTAGTAACTCTATTGTGCTCTACTTCATGGCACATCTGGTCCACTTAGTACCTATCCTCAAGCTTAAGCATTGACTAACCCACTTTCTCAATCTAGTGAAGCAAAATGTGTAATCAAAATTTAATCTATTTGTGGTGATGCAACGGAGAACTAGAACATTTTGTCAACCATGAGAGATTCAACAGCCTGCCTCTCACCTGGATATAATTTCCAGATCCTTTTGGATACATCCACTGGTAAATCTAGGATAAGCTGCCTCTGTCTGGGCCTGGAGAGAGAGAAGGTAGGAAGGCTGGGAGGGAGGAAGCATCTACTCCCTGGGTGCATCTTTATATGTCATGTAATGTAGACTTTCAACTGTGCAAGAAACATATGAAAAAACAAACAAACAAACCAAAACAAAGAGATTGTGATCATTGGAAGACTTTCTCCAGGCCTCTCCTTCCTCGTTTTTACTTGGTGTCCAATGGTTTATACCTTTGGCTTTGTACCTGAGTTTCGTTAATTTCTGAATAAGTAACTTGAGACCCTCCTGAAAGAGTAGACTCAAAACCCATATTATACCATCTCCAGCAAGACCCAAGGATACACCAACTCCTATGTCCAACTTTCTTCTTCCAGAATGACCCTGCATTTTCCCACTGCACCAGAGAATGGGATAGACACTGTGCTTGCCTTTTTGGGGGCAAGATTCATGTCATTTAATAAGGGCCTTTGGACCCACCACTGTAACTCAAAACACCAAATATAGCTTTGGTAATTTTGGTACAAGAGCAAGCGGATGGAAGAAAATTTTCAACTAGGCAAAATGAAAGCACCCACAAAATTAGGGGAAATATTACTGTCTCTAAAGGCAAACAGTTTCTCCACAGGCTCCACCCAATCTATGCTTCCTGGCTCAGTGGTTTAAGAGACTGTAAACACTTTTTCTTCACAGTTAAAATAAAGCAGCAGTTGGAAGAGTGTCTTTGGAGAACATTTGAGAGCTCATCCACGGGTTGAAAAGAAGGTGAGTCTGGCTGAGAAGCAGCCCTGAGCACTAGAGTTGTTTGGGCAGTAGGTCCATGGAGTGTACATGGTGTGGGTTCTGGTCCCAGGAAGGAGCAGGTTCTGTGCCAGCAGCACAGCAGGGGGGGGGGTGCTGTCAGAGGGTAATTATAGAGGGTAGGGAGGGGAGTCAGGAGCTTTATTATACAACTAGAGGCCTGATGCACGAAATTTGTGCAAGGGTCTTGGCCCTCGCAGGCCAGGTTACCTGCTTCGGCTGGCCCTCGAACCACCCCACTCCCCGATCCCGGGCTGTTTGCCTCGGCCGGCGCTCCCAGCCGGGGAGGCTTGCCTGGAACCTCACAACCCCAGTTTCATCCACAAGGTAGTCTGAACATCATTCGGTCTAATTAGCATATTAAACTTTATTATTATAGATGTTACATGTCTCATATTGAACAGGACACATTTGTGCTGATTGATGCACCTTCATGCATTTGCTGCGCTGATAGACACTGAGGGATGCCTGACTAGCCTTCCTTTTCCCTGGACAGGAAATGAGTGTCCCCAAGGCAGGTCTTTAAGAGCTTGAAAGCAATTTAGACAACAACCTGTCTAACTCCCTCTTTCTACTGAAAAAGAAGCAGGATCCCAGGGAGTGTGGTAACTCTAGGGCTTGCCCACATCACTAAGGGCAGAGGATATCTGGACTGCAGTTTGCAGAATCCTTTTCATGGGTATAGGTTGGCTATTCTTCAGGAACAATGTATATGAAACCCTCCACTTAATGGCCCTAGTTGCAGGCTTCCTAAAAGTGTTCTGTCTGGAAAGAGTGTGGACTCTCCTCCCTGCCCTCTCTTGATCTAGCTCTGATTCCATGTAATTTTAGAATCCTGGTCTGAGAAGACACTGAGAGGAGGCCATTTTGTGCAGTGGTTAGGAGGGAAGGTCATGGTCAGATAGACTTTGAACTTGATGCCCTGTTCTGCCCTATACCTGTTAGCACAGTGACCTTGACAAGTGTATCAGCATTTTCAAGCCATGTCAATGTCTTTATTTAAAAAGTTAGAATAATAAAAATGAGCTTTTTCAGGCTATTATGGGGGAGTAGGTGAGATAATATACAAGAAATTATCAGGGTGCTTGGTATAGAGTGTCAGCCATGGTTATATTACACACATATCAAATTTTTATTGTTGAAAAATGTTAATTTACTCAAAGTTAAATGAACAATACAAGGAACTTCCATGTACCTAGACCAAGCTTCCACAATTATTAAGTGATGCCAATCTTGCTTCATCTATATACTCACCACTCACCAGCCACCCCGCATTATTTTGAAGCAAATATCATTGTTTCATTTTATCAGTAAATATTTGAAACCATTTACAAATATGACCGTAATCAGACTTCAAAAGCAGATAGAATTTTTTACAAAGTTGCCAGTTGCCTTCAGATTTCCCTGATTGTCTCATAAATTTAAAAACTGTTTGAAGTTGGATCTAATTAATATTTATAAATTGCAATTGTTTGGTTTCTCTTATATTTAATATATAGCTTTCTTACCTTCCCTGTTTCTTTCTGGAAAATTTCTCTGTGTAAGAAGGAGGAAGTCGTTATCCCAAAAGAACCGGACAGTTTACATTTTGTTGATTAACATTCTCATGGTGTCATTTCACCTGCTCTTCTAGTCCAGTGTTTTGGGTGAAGTTTTATTTAAGGTGAGTCTTGATCTGACTCAGGTTTGACTATTTGGTTGGAAATACATCATAGGTTCAGCTGAAATTTCCCTCAGAATGCACATAATATTTAGTTGTCTCACTTTCTTTGACAGTAACTGACATTAATGATGGCCTAAATTTCATTAAGGGTCAGAAGTGATTTTTAGGTCACTGAAGAAGGAGTGCAGGAGGCCAGCATGGTGAGGGATTAGGAATTTATTGGTTCATCCTCACAGCAGGTGGCTGAGCCTGGATGGTTCCAGCCCCCAGTGACAGAAGTCAGGGGCTTTAAAAGAACTTTTGGCAGGCATTTTCTGGACAGAGACTTCTTTATGCATAACCAGAGGGGAGATAATGGAATGTGGTCACTGCAAGTGAAATGTGGTCTCAGCAAAGGGAAAGTCCATAGTGAAATAGCCTGAAAAGCCAGTTACTGGGGAGGGGTATTGATGCAATTGCTCGATCAAACATAACAGTGGTGATATCAAATTCTATCATTCTTCCCTTAGTTATTAGATAGAAAAATCGTATAAAAAGTTCCCTACAACCATTCTCTCATTTCCATGAAGTACATGGTATCTAAAAGACAAGATAAATGCTCAATTCTTTCCCTTTATTTGTTAATGTTCATAACAAGAAGATGCTTTCCTAGCACACTCCCAAGGGAGCAATTGATTCCTAGAGTCAGTAGTTTATTTATAAAACCCTATTTTTTTGGTGGGAAATGGCATTTGAAAACCACACTCTAGGCACTAAGGATGGTCATTGTCACTGGGCTCATTATTATATCTATTCGTTTTCAATTGACTTCAAAACTGCACACACACATGCACACACATACACACACACACACACACAAGAATAGGATTTTTAAAAACAATTTTATTTTTTCAGGTTTTTTTTTTTGTTAAACTTAAGTTAATAACACTAAATATGGCCAATGAAATTATTGCTTTTTTAAGTGTCTTGGACCAATTCCTTATATGGTTCATCCACCCCACAATATACAAATAAATTTGTTTGCCATTTCATTTTGGTTTAGTATTTTGAAATATAGTTTTTTGTATAATTATGTAAGCTACCTACATGGTCTCAAGATAAAATCTATGAAATCTTAGTGTAACCAAGACATCCAGTTTCCAGCTTCTGTCCTTGTTCCCTCCACCCTGCTTCTCCCATCCCAGGTAAGTAAATTTTTATTGGTTTAGATTTCAGAGTATCCTGCTATTGCCTTTTCATATATATGAAAAATATATGTCCTGTATTTTATATATGTAGCTCATATTCCTCCTTATTATAAGAATGGTAGGTCAACTCTATATTATTTTCTCCACTTTTTTTCCACTTAATGATGTATCCAGGAGACCTCTCCATGCTTGTATAGAGAAACGCATTCCTTTTCACAGATGAATAGTCCCTCAATGTGTGAATATGTCTTAGGTAATTCAACCAGTCCTTACTAATGGCCATTTGATAGGTTTTTGGTCTTTTGCTAATACAAATAATGATGCAATAAATACCCTATGTGTCATCTTTCTACATTTTTGTCAGTGTAATTAAGGGATAAATATTAAAATGGGGGATTGACAATGAATGAGAAAATGCATATGTACTTTGGCAGCACAGTGCTGACTTCCCTTCTGTAGGGTTTGCACTGTTTTTCCATCCTCACCAGCCATGCAGGAGAGGACCTGCTTCCCTCATACCTTTGCCAACAGATTATGCTGGCAAACCTTTGGACTTTTGCCAAACCTGGAGGTGTCAAATAGTATCTCACCTCAGAAATAGAGTTGTGATTTAATTAATATTTTAGTGACTTTATTTTTTGTGTTTTTTTATTTTTCTCTGAGTGTATGTTAATGTCTTTTGATATATTTAAGGTTCATTTAAATTTATTTTCCTCTGAATGTTTATTCCCATCTCTTGTTCCTTTTTCTATCAAGTTGCTGGTATTTTGTTTCTGTACTCTTTAATTTTCTGTGTATAACAGGAACATTTACCTCCTTTGTTTTAAACTGAAAAATATTACTTTCCTGAATTTGACATTTTTGCTTTAATTTTTCAAAGACATCTTTTGTCTCACATAATCTACAATATTTTTATGTATTCACCTTATTATTTATTTTCCTAACTCAATTTCAAATCTTAGAAATATTTTGCTTACTTCCAGGTTACAATAATTTATCCATATTTTTTCTTTTCTTTATATGCATTTTTTTTACATTCAAACTTCTAATCTGCTTGCAATTTGTTTGACATGAAGCAATGGATGCAATTTTATGTTTTTTTTTCTGTATAGTTATATGATTACCCCAAAGTTACTTTATTACAACATCTTTGGTCCCTTTGATGTGGTATGCTGCCATATTGAATCTAAATGTAGAATAGTGTAATTGAATTGAATATAAAGAGTTTGATTAATTTGGTCTGTTTCTGAATTTTTGGCTTTTGGCTCACTGTTCTCTCTATCCGTACAACAACATCACACTTCTGTAATCATAGAAAATGTAATGCTTGACTCCTGGTACAGGTAGTCCTTCCTCATAGTTTTTCTCGATGGTGCTGAGTAACTTTCTTTTTTTCTTCATCCAAATGAACTTTATACTCCACTATTTTTCACCTGCATAAAAAAATTGTGATGACAAAAATTTCAACTTTACAGTTATATAAAATAATGTTAGAGAAGTACCTGCTTTTTCTTCGTCCAAAAACTTTATAACCTGCTATTTTAACTTTATTATCCACTCTTTCTCAGCTATAGGGAGAAAGTGATGATAAAAAATTTAAATTTATAGTTATATAAGATCATGTTAGATAATTATTTTCAATGTATAAAATGCTTTACACATGGATTATTTTTGAATTCAGTCAAATGTCTTGACTGCACTAGGTAATTTTTTACTTCATCTATTAATAAGATGTGTTGTAACAACAAATTTTGGTATGAATATTTCCAAATGAGATGCACCTGTAGCTTTATTTATTGGTTAAATCTCTGTTAGCTTTAGGATCAATATCACATTTGATTCAGAGAAAGAATGGAAAGATTTCCCCCTTTTTTATATGATCAGGAATAATTCACATAACATTGAGATGATCAGCTTTGTAGAAGTTTAAGTGAGTTCTCCTATGAAAGCACCTGGACATTGTACTCTTTTGTGTGAAAAATTTATTATTTCTTCTATATGAATAATAGACCATTACAAATTTTCAGGGAGGACAAGATTGAAGAAAAGAGGTTTGGGAATGGTCCCCACTTACCTAAGTATTTCCTTCCTTAAGGTCTTGTTGGTACCTGCATCTCAGAGCCTCTTGAAAGAACATGGCTGGCCTTCAGGACAACACTCTGAGGATTGTTCTGGTGGGGAAAACCGGAAGTGGAAAAAGTGCAACAGGAAACACCATTCTTGGGGAAAGAAAATTTGAATCTAAAGTTGCTCCTCACGCTGTTACCACGGCATGTCAGAGTGCAAGTCGACACTGGAAGGGGAGGACCCTTCTTGTCGTGGACACCCCAGGGCTCTTTGACACCAAGGAGACATTGAAGACCACCTGTGAGGAAATCAGCCAGTGTGTCTTCCTCTCCCGTCCTGGGCCTCACGCCATCATCCTGGTTCTACAGCTGGGCCGCTACACGGAGGAGGAGCAGAAAACAGTTGCGTTGATCAAGGTCATCTTTGGGGAGTCAGCCATGAAGCACATGATCGTCTTGTTCACTCGCAAAGATGATTTGGGTGATCAGACACTGTCTGGGTTTATAGAAGCTTCAGACGTAAACCTGAAAAACATCATCAAGGAGTGTGAGAACCGCTGCTGTGCCTTCAATAACCAAAGTGTAGATGAGGCTGAGAAGGAAGCTCAACTGCAAGAGCTGGTGAAGATGATAGAGGACACGGTGAGGAAGAACAGAGGGCTTCACTTTTCTGAAGCCATCTACAAGGACATAGACAAAAAGCTGAAAAACAAGGCAGAAGCCTTGAAGAAAATCTATGCTGAGCAATTGAAGAAGGAAACTAAACTAGTTGAAGAGCAATTTGCTCAGGGAAAAATACCAGAGCAAAAAATGGAGAAGAAAAAAAATTCCTTATTGGAGAAGTATAATGAACGTATTAAAAATATTGAGAAAGAAGCTGAAAGGAATATATTTCAAGATGTTGTAAATATGGTTTGGAATACACTTTCAAAAATATGGAATATGTTTTGGAAATGATGTAAATTTTATTTTTGTCTCTTAATTTACTATGATTTGTTAATGTGGTGAAATCTATTTTCCAAAGATGACTAGAACAATCTATTCTATCCCACCCATTCTCCTTGTAATCTGAGTTTATTTTTCCTTCTGTTGAATGATAGCATTTTTCCCCTACCGTGAAATTCAATGAACTTTGCAATTGCTTTGACAACTAGTGAGATAGGGAAAATGCCTCTTTGCTCCCTAGGGTTTGTGGGCTTGGCATTTCGCCACCATGTGGTGAGGAAGCCATGCGAAGAAGACTTGAAGTCACTGGCTCACTCCCCTGGCTGGTCTTTCATCTACAGCAGAAACACTTGCCAGCCATGCAAATGAGGCAACATGGAAGCAGATTCTCCAGCTGCCAACTGAGCCATCTCAGATGAAGCAGCGAAGAGCAAAGATGGGCCACCCCCCTGCATCCTGCCCAGATTTCAGATTCATGAGAAAAATAGTGTTGTTGGTTTAAACCACTAGGCTTTGGGATGGTTTGTTATGCTGTGATAGCAACCACCAGCATCTTCCTGGCTCACTCATCACCAATACCCACAATGCTAACAAACTGAAGAAATTACAGAATTGGTATAATCAGGCAGTAATATATTATGAAGAGTTCACAGACTCAATTTAGGAAAGTTCAAATGAGGATTCCTGCCTGTGTCAAGTGTTAGCACCACCGGTGATGGACATTTTTTTCAGTCCACGTCTCTGAGCACCTTGTTGGTGAAGCAGCAGGCTTCTCCAACAAGATGGTTCTGTGGTCCGTGTGAGGCAGGATAGTAAGAAGCGAGAAAAACTCCTGGACAAATGGAATAGAGAAACTGAGATGAAAAAATTAACTGTTTGGGAAGCTTGTAGCCAGCTAGTTAATCACAAGACCTTATATTCCCCAAACAAGAGCACTTGAGAGCAAATGGTTTATATGTCTCCTCCCTCCCCAGAGAATACATAGTTTAATCACTCTGGTCTGGGAAGTAGAGCACAAAGGCCCAATTCATGTGATTTGTGCCAGCTAAACCCAATGGCAGATGAAGTCAGGGAAAAATAACAAAAAGCCATTAAAGCCAGACACAACAACGATAAAATAAAACAGTAAAACACCAAAGCATAATCCAAAACTCCCCTATACACTTATCTTGATGTATCAGCATATTAAAAATGCACCTGGACAGCTGATTGGAAAAAAATGGAAAAAAAAATCCTCAGGACAAAAACTCGCTCTAGCACAGGCCCATGCCCTGTACCAGGCATGAACTTTTTATTTCTTCCTAAACTCTATGGGTCCCCATGAGGCACTTGCAACCCAGGGATCAGTGGGCAGTGGCAGCTGCACCCAGCCTCAGCGCCTGATCCGGTCTCCAAGGCCCCCTTTTCCCCGACTTGAGCTGAAGCAGCCCCACCTTGACTCACTTCTTTCCTATAACATTTCTAGGGAGCCAAAGCAGCCCCACCTCAGCTCTCTCCTATTGTGTCTTCTACCCTAAACCCTCTTTTTTTTCACTGTCCCCTGCTTTAATAAACATCTTCTTTCCTGCACCAAGTCAAGAACTCACACACTATGGGCCAGTCCCTGTCTGGTAACACATGGATGTTTGGAAGTTGCAAATTCTCTTCTTGATTTTCTCTCTTGTCTTTCATAGGTGCCATCCAAAAATGTTCCTGACTGTAACTTAAAAATCTCTATTGTGCTAAGTATTTTTAATTCACATCTGCAGATCCACACTTTTCCCTCCTTCATCTTAGCTCTTTACCCCAGGAGGCTGATCTCTAGGATCATATTGTTACCAAACTCAAGGGCTTCTCCCCTTGGGGTGTCCTATTCCAGAAGGAGACATGGTTGTCACAGGGTAGTTTTATTTACTTGTAGCAAGTTAAGGAGACGGGATTCATAACAAAAGCTCTGTCTCCCCAAATAGAGAGGCTTAGCCATTCTTTACACTATTTGGTCAATTTCACATTTCTTTCTCTTTTTTTTTTTCCTTTTGCTGTTCTTGTCCTGTTGAGTTCTTGTCAAGCTCATCCTGTTTCTAGTTGGTCTCATACATTTTAACATTGAACAAGAGTAGCATCCTATCTAATAAAAGAGAAACATGGTAATTAGCCATACCTCCACTACCCTTCCCATTGGCTAATCAGGGCAATATGCAAATTAACTGCCAGCCAAGATGGCGGCCGGCAGCCAGGAAGCTTGAAGCAAATAGGAGGCTTGATTGCTTCAGAGACGGAGGAAGCCAACCTTCCCCGCCTGCTGCTGCCGGCTTCTGAGCTTGCAGGTTGAAACATTGTTACAAATATAGAAGCTAAACAAAACCCCAGAAACCTGCTTTCAGCCAGCCGGGATCTCAGAGCTGGAGTTGAAACAGTGTTTTGATTATAGAACCTAAACAAACCAGATACCTGCTTTCAGCAGCCGAGGCCTCAGAGCTGGAGCCAAGCCTCAGAGCTAAAGGTGGCCCAGAATAAAAAAAAAAAGAAAAAAAGGAGAGGTTGGGAGCTCAGTCACCCGCCAGCCTGAAAACGGCCCTCAGCCCCTCACCCAGACTGGCCAGGCACCCCAGTGGGGACCCCCAGCCTGAAGGGGGTGTGACCAGCTGCAAACAGCCATCATCCCTTCACCCAGGCTGGCCAGGCACCAAAGCGGGACCCCCACCCTGATCCAGGACACCCTTCAGGGCAAACCAGCCATCCCCCACCCGTTCACCAGGCCTATATCCTATATAGTAAAAGGGTAATATGCCACCCAGCACCGGGATCAGCGGAGCCGAGAGGCCTTCCTGGCACCGGGATCAGCGTGACAGGGGGCAGCGCCCAAACCCCCTGATCCGCCCTGCGGCTCTGTGAGTGACAGGGGGGCGGGGCCCACACCTCCCTATCCGCCCTGCTCTGTTCGTTACAGGGGAAGGCGCCCCAACCCCCTGATCAGCCCTGCTCTGTGCCTGATAGGGGGGAGCTCCCCAATCCCTTGATCTCCCTGCGGCTCTGTGTGTGACAGGGAGTGGGGCCACAACCTCCCTATCTGCCCTGCTCTGTTCATGACAGGGGGGAGCTCCTCAACCCCCTGATCGGCCCCTGCTCTGTGTGTGATGGGGGGAGCTCCCCAACCCCCTGATTGCCCTGCGGCTGTGTGTGTGACAGGGTGTGGCACCCCAACTCCCCCCCATCGGCCCTGCCCTGAGTGTGACAGTGGCGGTGCCCCAACCCCCTGATCCGCCCTGCTCTGTGTGTGACAGGGGGGAGCTCCTCAACCCCCTGATGGGCCCTGCTCTGTGCGTGACAGGGGGTGGCACCACAACCTCCCGATCCGCCCTGCTCTGTGTATGAAAGTAGGCGGCACCCCAACTCCCCAATTGGCCCTGCTCTGAGCCCAACCAGGGGCTGCACCTAGGGATTGGGCCTGCCCTCTGCCACCTGGGAGCAGGCCTAAGCCATCAGGTCATTATCTCCTGAGCGGTCCCAGACTGCGAGAGGGCACAGGCTGGGCTGAGAGACCCCCTCTCCCCCCTGAGTGCACAAATTTTTGTGCGCCGGGCCTCTAGTATATATATATATACTATAAATAGTATATATATATATATATATATATATATATATCCCTATGTT